AGAATGCAGCTTTAACACATGAAGCATCGGCTTCACTCGGCAGAACCGGAGGTTGCAGTATTGGTTTCACGTGCTTCATCACTTTCAACACATTATGAGATCTGACCACAGGAAGTTTTCTTTCCACAGACTTGTGCTCCACCCTGAAGATCACCGATCAGTCCAACCAGAAGATCGGCTGCACTGTCTTCTGTGAGAAGCTGGAGGACCATCCCAAAGTCTTTCAAGTCGGAGACATCGTCCGCCTGCACAGAGTCAAGGTCCAGCCGGGATTAAAGTCTTGTGCTATTCCTATCTCATTGTAAATGTATTGGTTTTGAACGCAGGAACTAAAACATCCCAGTATTGTTCTCAATCTGAGATCATGTAACTTGGAGATAAATGCCAAAGAGGACAGTGGGATAAGTTTCCACATTCCTCCTCACAGGTCCAGTTCTTCAATAACTCCATGACGCTGGTCAACACCTTCGGTTTCTCCGTGCTGGCGTTTGACGGGGTGGAGGGCGGATCCATGGAGCCGCGGACCTCCAGCCGCTCCTTCCACTTGGACCAGGAGGACCGTCGGACCGTGGAGGAGCTGAGATCCTGGACCTCCAGCCAGGCCCTCCTCCCCCCGGTTCCCACAAACACTCTGTCTGCCGCTCAGCCCAAAGCTTACTTCGACCTGACCTGCCAGCTGCTGACCAAAGCTCCCATCGACTCCTCGTGCACCCTGCTGAGGGTAAGAACGCTACAAGATGTACAGATCGACTGCAGAACTAGATGAATCGGATATGTGGTGCATTTCTACAGAAAAACACAAGCCATGTCTTGTTCATCAACATCTATTAAGGGCTGTATTTTACACTGGAAGAATGATACGAATGCAGCACCCTGAATGCACTTTCTTGTTGCAATACAGTGTATTTTTACGGGTTTTCCAAAAATTACAGATTCACTGCTATGATCCAACACCTTTACCTTAATTTTTCACTTGTGTGTTAATGCATATGTAGTTTACTTAAAAGACAAATGTGTTTTTGTTTCATGAAAAGCAACAGCTGCATTATGTAAACAAACAATGCTGAACTAGTGTTCAAAAGCACTCATTTTCCAAATATTTCTGAAATTTCCGCCATCTTTTGTCTTATTTGGTTCTGTAATGTTTACTTTATCAACTGAGGCGAATGTTTTCATCGACTAGTAATCCATGTCGGTTAAAGTAGTTGTTCAAAATGGCAGCGATCACTGTTACAATCATTAAAATACATTCAGGAGCTAGCGTAGCATAGAGGTGCTAACGCTAGTTACTGCTGTGCTAACGTACTCTGCTAACGTTAGCTCCACAGGTTTTTAGGTGGTAACGTAACATTTATAAAACGTATATCTCCTTCAACCTCTCTGAGTAACGAGTATCACTGATACACAACATTTAACAACGACGAGCTCCAAATCCACTAAAGCAGCCTGAACATGAAGAACATCTGAAACCATCCATGAGTCTGTGGAGGAGAGACGGAGAGCGGTCGGACCCTGGTCGGAGCTGGACAACGCTGCGCTGTGATTGGCCAGTCTGCGTTCAAGGGGCGGAGGGTCGATTAGAAATCCGTCTGCTGCTTCAGCACCACGGACAGCGCCATTGATTCATTAATGCGCAGCACAGTCTGATACTTCAGAGCCGTGGATCCAAACCAGCACAAACCTGCAGGTCAGATAGAGGATCAATGAGTCAGGCAGACAAACCTGCCCTGTTACTGTCTCTGCTACGGGGGGGGTCGGTCATCAGTAATGAATGAAACCTCCACAGTTTCTGCAAGTTTTGGGAAGTAGAAGCCAATGGCTCCATTAGTTTCTAGATATAAAATGGTAGAATGAATCCTTCGGGGGCTCTGTTACAGATCTGAGGCTGAAGTTTAAAAGCAGGAAACATAAAAAAAACTATAAAAGATAAACGACATAACAATCCCGACGCGCTCACACTGCAGCGTCTCCGTCACCAGGAAGCTTCCAGTCAGCTGGTATCCATCTGTTCTTACCGGCAGGTTTACACACACACACACACACACATTCACCTGCCGTTTCTTTTTTTTCTTTTTCTTTTGTGAAGCAATGTAACAAAAAAAATGCATATAGTGACATAAACATGGAAGACAGACAATACAGATAATAACGATAGTTACGATGACGCAGGTAATAAAGTGATAGTGTGTGTGTGTGTGTAAGAGGCAACAGTATATCATACAATGGTCATATAACAGTAATAATCATAATAGTTATGATCACATTGACATGATCAGACTGGTCAGACCCCCTTCATTTTATTACTTTTTAGTCCAGGTTTTGAATCCTCTCTTTTCTTTCTCTCTCTCGTCGATGTTCTTGTAAGAAGCTTTGTTTCTGACGTCTCTTTTTTAAACTTCCACCTGCTTTGATTTGTAAACTGAAGTAGTTTAATATTGTGTTGTCCCTCTGGAATACTGGAGCTGTTTGGTCTCCGTCTGTCTCGTAGTAGATCGACTTCACAGTCTCAAGTGTTTCATCTTGTCCTGAGCTGTTTTCCCAGCCACCTCCAGTTTTTCACAACAAGAAGCGAAGGCTGTAAGCGAGGGCTGGTCTCCTGCCAGCGAGGCTGATGGAGGAGTTAAATTTGAACCGGGTTTGGCAGCGAGCGCCGGTTCTGCTGCCAGTCGGCTCTCTCTGATTTCTAAAGCTGCTCTGAGGGGGCTTCCTGCTTGTTACGCAACAAGGCGTTCAACCAGGAGAGGATGCTCTCCAACATCATTACAGTTTATTAGACGGAGAACAGATTTGTAATACTTCTCCTCAAGCACCTGAGATCATCACGACTGGCTGAGTCACTGTACGACAGCCAGCTCTGACATCCTTAAATCTGAGAGTGGAAATACTTCCAACAATATTGCATCATGTCCCACATCATACTCAAGAATCAGTCCATTGATTATTGCTTCAAAGCTTTTGTTCGTCACGTATTGAACACATCTGTACATTGTGCAGTGAAATGCTTTGTTTCCCGCTCCGGTACCGTGATGAGACCTATAATCTAATCAGGGATGGTATCGTTAGGACTTTATCAATGCTAGTACACTTATCAACACCGCTTATGGGTTCAGTTCCTTATCGACACTCTTATTCACTCTTTTTGATTATAGAGAGAGAGAGGGAGAGAGGGGGAGAGGGGGAGAGGGAGAGATGGAGGGAGAGAGAGAGAGATGGGGGAAAAGGGAGAGAGACTCACTCACTCACTCACTCACTCACTCCACAACTTCTAAAGTACCGATAGCAGAACCGCTAACTCTGGACCTTACAGATACTCTGGGTTTTACTAACTTAGAACTGGTTCCTCTTTTTTGAACCAGGTTCCAGGCGTCTCAAAGAGAAGGCAGAATGTTCCCTCTCTGGACGACCCAAGCTGTCGCCAAGCAATGCAATTCTGTTGAAACGGTCGACAGCGTAACTTTACGGACTTTAAAGAATATTTCATGCCATCAGTCGGAGACGGACTCAAGTGAACCCTTTTATTTCTCCACCAACTGAAACTTGAGCAACATCTGGAGTTTTATTCTCGGTGTGAGGCTGCATCCACAATGTGAAGTCAAAGGACACGAGGAATACCTGCTATTTATTAAATAACAACAACAACAACAAAGCACGCTTTGTATCCAATTAGTATCAAATAATTGAAGTAATATTCGACTGATTAGTTGCTTATGACAATGGTTGTTAGTTGCAGCCCTACCGTGACTACATGAAGCTATATTGCCTGAACTTTCTTGACCAGACAGACCCATGAACGGGCCGCCATTCAACACCATTTTACAGTCTCACCGTGTGCGTCATGTGTTTGGCTTTTTATTTATTTAATTCTTTTCCAGGTGTGGGACGGGACCCGGTGTGCTCACACTCTGCTGAAGGTGATCGTTGAGCAGAACGTCACGGAGGGACCGTCCTCCTTCTCTAAAGGGAGAGAGAGCCTCATCGCCAGCGTCCTCGTCTACGACAACCACGTGGAGTCGGCCAAGCAACTCAAGGTTAGAGCAAGAAATGATAATTAGCTGCAGTTTAGGGTTAAAATGTGAGTACTGCGTCAGTCGGGCTAAATGTGACAGAGAGGAGGGTTGAGGAAGTCCCAGATACCAAACGGGTTTATGACGTCGCAGCCGTATTCACTGCATCTAGCAAGTCTGCATCATTCCACAGGTTTCATTAGTCAGACAACACCAAGTGTTTGTCTGAATCAACTCTCTGGTTGGCGTGAAGCAACAGAGACACCTGCTTGGTTTAAGACGTGGCGTGAATACTTTTATACGCCATGAGCCGGTAAATACAGTGTGTACAAAAAGAAAGGAAGAAAGCATCGGAGAAAGAAAGTCAACATTTCTGGTATTAAAGGATAAAAACAGGTCTGGAGTCAGCTGAGCTTTTTCAGATTACGGATAAAGACGGAGGGATTGTTCCTGATGGAACCTGCAGCCGGAAGAAGGAATCAGTGAGGAACACAACACTGTTGTTTTCTGTTTGCTCGAGTCAACAGGAGTGATGGATGTCTGCTTGTGTGTGTGTGTGTGTGTGTGTGTGTGTGTGTGTGTGTGTGTGTGT